CCTAATATTTTTTATATTAAATTCATTAAGGAGTAAACCTGCTGGCTGGCAGTCAGTAGTGGTTTACCGACTAAGTCTCAAAAGTTTGAGTGGTCAGGGGTGTTCTAGACGGCAGGTGTAATGTTCGGCGGAGTCGAAATTGTTCAGAAGATGTCAATAAAGTGCTTAATCGAAGATCAGGGTTCACTTTTTCGCTCTAGATTTTCCAGGTGGTATCTCAGAAACAATCTTGAACATATGTAGAATATAACTCAAAAACTCGCATTAGTTTTAAGCAAGCTGTTTGGGGGTGTGTGGAGTGAGAGTGGGGAAGGAAGGGGCGGCGGGAAGTACACAATATGATTGCTTTCTTTATTTTCTCATAAACCACGATAATGAGCGCTTCTTTGCAAATTCTCATGCTCGTAACTGTTTCCTGTCTCAGTTATGCAAACACGTAAAGTGTGAGTTACCGCTTGGCCGTCACGCTCTAGACTTGAGACCCACAAGCTACGCCTACTGCTCTCGCATAGGCGAGGAGATGCTCCGATGCGAGGCAGACGCTTATCATGGATTTTATTGGGATTCTCGTTGATGCTCGTCTTCTTTCATTTGTCACTGTCACTATCTCGACAAAGCATCGCTAGTTTGAGAAACAGTTGAAACATTCTTCAACGCGACCTTTGGGAGTTATAGAGAAGTTCCTTCGACCTTAACAATGTGGAAATAAGATAGGCTTGTACATCTCCAGTTTCTTCCGCACTTTAGGTTGTTCTCACTTCGTACTCGTTGGAATATGTTATCACTTTGTAAAGCTATTGTGGCTATTCTTTTCTTTCGCGTCTGTTGTTCCCCAGGTGTGCTCTTACATCATTTAAGACTATGACTTCGGAACTTTTGTCCAATGGCCGCTAGTAAATGCGACCAAGATGTGTAACTCAAGCAGCTTCTTTGCCTCTTGTTTTTGGCTCCTTCCTAGATCTCCTCTTGAGTCTTCCGCCTAGGCCTAGAAAACCTCTCTTGATTTTTTTGGACCTTGTAGGAGAAAAGACATGATCGACCTTCTTCCAACATGCAATCTCTCCCGCTTGCTGCTTGCATATTTTATACTTCGTGGCAAGCCAAGTTGCTAAAGGTATTGCAATTAGTCTTGCCGGAGCTCTCTCTGAGAAAGCGTTGTGCATCGTGCGCCCTTTCCATTAATGTGAGTTTCTGCTATGTTTTTCAGCCAATAGAGATGGATTAGAGAGGGAGTAGAGCTGAAGATTACCAGAGCCCTATTGTCTGCTCTGTGGATCGCATAATGCTAGGGTATACGAGGAGCGCCGGTTTCGGTTAAAGATAAAGTGAGGCCGCCCTTCAATTCGAGCGATCAAATGCTTTTCGGTGACAAATAACACACGTGGGAGCCGTTCTTCATTTGATCTTCGTTCATGAACCAGGGTTAGTAGCTATCTAGGTCCGAACAAAATTCGCTATTTTTTTTGTGGGAGAATCTGATATTCAGGCTCTCAAGTACTGCCACAGTCACTAGCTAACTTGCTCAAAATGGACCACAACCATTTCTGTTCTGTTCGAGGAAGCGCAGACTCTATTCCTATATGAGATTATGAACAGAAAATACTTGAAAATATAGTTTTCTGCACATACTAATATCTACCAGGCAATCATGTCAAGCTCTTTACGCTGGAGAGTAGCCGGGCGAGCTCTGCAGCGCTGAGCACTTCATTTCTGATATGGAGCGCACACCTCGCATTACTCTCCTCGTTATGCGCTTCATTAGATTTCTCTCATCTAGAGCAGCCTTTCTACGCTGGATCAAAACGAAATACTGCACAGATTCTATGTAAAAAAATTCGTGCGGTGGTAAAGCACTCAGAGCTGATCGCTGAGTAGCTTATGAGAAGAGACTAACAAGCACTTCGTTGCTATCCAATATTGAGTTTGCTGGCTTTCTTAAGCTCCTCGAATTTTTTTGCTGTCGCATCTGCTCTCGGTAAAGGAGGTGGTAAGTGTGGCGACTCGAAACACAAAGCAGAACACGTGCTTTTATTGTTTCTACTTGCTGTCGACAAAGCCGTATCGATGCAGCTTTTCCTCAAAACACTATTTTTTCATATTTGAGTGTTTACCTCTATGGGTGTTGCTATATTCACGTACCTCGTGTTGATGTTTACTAATATTTTTACGCGATATTACTTATGCGTCACCAGTTCGGCGGATGCCTATCTCTTTCTCTTCGAAGAATGTCTGGGATTATGTGCAGCGTTGAAACTGCATCGCAAGCGCTGCTCCCCGTCCTTCTCTCCCTACATGGCCAGCTTCTTTGTGACGAGTAAACAAGTTGAAGAAACATACGCGGAGACAACTACTGATGATACGCAAACGACTGTGGGAGACGGGTAACACCTCTAAGTAGCGCGGAGGCGTGATTGAAATCTACTGAGGCAAGTCGGAGACGTTTGAGCGCCGCGACCAGTACGAGTAAAACGCCCACCTTCGGCAGAAACTCGTACGAAATCGCTGTTAAACGTTGGATCTCTTACATCAAGCCAGTGCTTTCATGGCTACCACCATTCAATCCAACTCAGTCCTCCGCAAGTTCTCTTTTTTACGTCTGAGGTGGCATAAAGCCGCGGTAATGAAAATCCCAGTCTATGCAAATCAAATGAGCTCCTTTCATCAGAAGTTTTTCCTCTTTCACCTTGTCTCGAGTTGTTATTTCCCCGCCTCTTGCTGACATCGATGCCTCCTGCCACCCTTGCCACTCAAGACATCGAAAGATTTTACGCTGGATTAGCCGTATTACCGTCTCCTCTCAACTTTTGCTCCTCTTCAGCTTGGCTTACTCGTCGCATATGATTTTTTGCCGCTTTTCACAGTCAACTGATTATTCGTCATTTTTCATCGAAGTTCATGGAAAATTCATCCATAGACAAAATTATTCGCATTTCGCTACGTCTTCCCAGATGTCACTCAAATAAGGCGAATCTTGTTCGCCTTCACACTGGCGAGGACTTGCGTCCTCGACTTGCAACATGTGCACTTCTTATTAGACATTCGCTTAGAGTAATATCGAAAGGATGTCTCATGTTCCCCGCTAGCGGAACAGCGACAGGGTCATATGTTATGACAAGCTTAATAATAGCTAAGATTCTGATTACTTAGCTTTCCCAAGCTTTGGTTTGATGCCGCTTCTCGTACTCGCGCTATCACCGAATAGGATGTGTCTGCTCCTGATTTAATAGCGTTTCACATCGCATCGCAATAATTATCTTACTTTGCGCGTTTCCTGCACCACGTGGGACTAATCGTGCCAATAAGTTGATTCTGGTCTTAGCTGTGACATGTCTTTTGATCTATGTGGACAGCTTTCCCACGTCACATTATCTTTGATCTTATCACTAGGGTAAGGATAGTAGTTTTTCCTTTTTTGATCGCTATTCGAAATTGGATGAATAGCTCAGCTGTTTCTTTGAAGATTGCCGAAATTTACTATATAATTCTTGACTTTTATACCAAGTAGGCGGTGCTCTGGATAATGCCAATCCCAAGACACATGTATCAGCTTTCTCTTTCATAAATGCTTTGTTCGGACACCAGATCTACTTTCTATTAGGTTGTCCGGAAATTTGCCGGTTTCTTACTCGATCGCGGCAGTGTAAATATATGTGAGAAACATATCATTTGTTAGAGCAGAGCAACCTTTACAAAACGGCATTAGAATGATCGCTTGAACCACGTGAAGTTTGAAAGCAAAATACAAAGAAATAAACACCCAAAAACAGATTTCCTTCCAAAAACATCCTGCAGACTTCCAACTCGCAAGCACATATTGTCCACATCAAACATTCATATGTACAATCACGATATTCCATGGTTAGAAACTGAGAAAATGAAAGTTCGCATGCCTTAGAAAATGCAATGCTGAGCCAATCTGACATAGGTAGATTTACACTACAACCTTTTATTGCAAACATAGATTTCCAGCTTCCTCCAATGGCTACTTTTTGAGAAATATTAAATTCAAATGAAAAATCCAAAAAGGCGATATTTTCGCATTGGTCCATTCTGCATTTCAATTTTCAGCCGTTGCAGAAATGTGCTAAGTGCGCATATAAATGTTTAATGTAGAGAGCATATGCGTGACCAAGCTGAAAGTCCGCAGAAGCTTTTTAGAAGGAGATCTGATTTTTAGGTGTTCAAATTTTATGAAAATTGCATTCGAACTACATGTAGATTAAACTCAGCAATCGTTCTAATGCAGCCTTGTAGAGATTCCTTTGCTCTATCGAATGATATGCTTCCCACATTTATATATTGACATTGCTTCGATCGCGTAAGGAAGCTGCCTTAATTTCCGGACAACCTAATAGTTAGACATTTGACCTACTATTGCGACCACCTTTGCAATGAATTATCCGCTCAAGTTTGACTTGTGACAAATCTCCAAAAAAAAAAACGCAAACTGGCTCCAACCCTTGGTTATCCCATTTGAGTAGTTCTCTACGATTCACGAAGTCGTGCATATTCCATACATGCGCCTGTTTATCTCATCAGCTCGTATCGCGTTCCGGATGTAGCTCCCCGTAGATGTGTCACTCTGCTCTCGATCCTTATCCCTACTGTTTCGTATCTGAACGAGCCGCTATGGTTTCCATGACTCCCGTCGTCTTTTCGCTAATATATCCACACACAGCTGCGAATCACTTTACGACTCAATTACGTGTGTTAGGCGGAGAAGTCACGGCCTCATATTCTCTATATTGAGAATTGGCCGAATTATCCCCCTTAAAGCTAACTTCGAGTCTCCTTTGCTCAACCCGATTCACATTGCTGAGAGCTTTCTCATAGACGAACGGGAAACATCGAAACTATTCGCGCGAGGACAGCCCTAGTTCAAGTTTAATTGAATTTGCCAATGAGACCTCCTCACATGAAGCGTACACAAGTCCTTCGCGTTACTCGTCCAACTTATTTCTGATTAACACAGTTTCCTATTCGTGCATATCTTGAGAGAAACTTTAGGTTGTTTGTGGTTCAATGTGCGCCGCCCGCAGGTGATGGGTAAAGCATCTAGCAAGCTGAAACAGGATCAGTTAAAAGCACTTGCTCAGCAAACGTACTGTAAGTTCATCTTCATTTTGTTCAAAGTAGTAGGGCACATGACCTCTGGTTGTGTTTTCTAGTGAAGCGATATGAAGTTATCCAAAATCCGTCAAAATCGCGTTTAGCCTTGAAGGATGGTGTGCTAACGAAACGCACAACAGCCCTCATCCATGTAGCTGTTCGACTGAGATGATGGATCGTTTCGTTTGCCTATGAGACCAAGCGCCGACCTTTAGCTCTGCATTACTTTGCTTTTGCTCGGGGAATGAATCTTTGATTAGATTGCAGTAATGAGGAAACTTGGCCCCATTTGGAAAAAAACCTAATTATCCGTTGTTGTTTTTTATTGCTGAAAGTTGGTATGAGACCAAAAGCAGATATTTACGAAGAAACTGAAGTATGCTTAGGCTGTAAATAATCATAGCTTCTTCCCACAAAAGAGTCCTGATTGTATGTCATTCTTTTCCTAGAGAACATATCCTTCTTCCATGAGCATAGCTCAATGTCTTCTTCCCACACGCTCCCTTGCCGTGTCTCAAAAAATAACATCGCAATTTTGTAGTACCAACTTTGTAGATTACTATCTAGTCGACAGAAAAGTTTCCAACTCTTTATTTCTGCAGTTTAGTTTTTCCTCCTGCACAAAGGTATGGCTAAGTTCTTTTAGTCTTCTTATTTTCAAATGCGCATATCCTGAGACAAATAGCATTGTTGAGACGAATCGGGGATAATAATGTTTTTCACTATGCACATGTGGGGATTCTCTTAGATATCTACGATTCACAATCTCATTATAAATCTCCGTGTCCTCATGGTAGAGCAGATATTTGGGCTCTTCTGGATTCGGCGGCGTTCTCAAGTAGCCTTGAGTACATGTACTTGTTTTCAAAAGGTCTCGTAACGAGCGAGTGTGTATATACGGTTTTATTTCGTGCTAGTTTCAAATTGGCATCTCATAAAACGCATTATAAGAGGCCTCAAAAACCTCTAGATTCTAAACGTTCTAGTTTAGCCAATTTAGCAGCTAAATGGTACGTTATAGGGAAGACGCTAGGCGATAATAATTATGTTGCTGAGTGTAAGAGGTAAAGTGTTTACATGCATAGAACTTAGAAAAGAGGGAATATGCGTAATTTCATTACTAGCTCCAAACTGAATAATCGGTCTTTATAGTGCTTTGTTTTTAATCGCGGAGTTTCTCGAAATGTGAGTAATCGAATTTGGAACCCGGAGGCAGTAACGTAGCGATATTCTATCGTTATTTTATTTCCGGCTATTTTTCCTCCGAACGGTGCAAGTTTATAAAGTTAATTCAAAGAATCTTCCGTTGTGCAATCCTTTCAGCTACTTAGCTGAGAATTAGTTAGACCAGATTCATAATTATCATATGCACTCCTCTCTTAACAACTCAATCACACTTAAATCTGTTGAAAAAAAAATCCATTTTTGGTCTTCTAAAACATGTGCTTGGACATGAATAATTCCATTACAGATGAAGTTTGCAGCAAATAGATTATGCAGCAGCAAGTAGATTACGTATTAGAATGGAGAAAGCAGCACTTTTACAGCGGTGAAGTTAGCTCACTATTAAGAGCGAGAATTTTGGAGAACCGCATTTCTGAAAAAGGAACAAAAACGAAATTTGCATCTGCCTAGTTCAGATCACCTCATTCCTTTTCCCTGCTAAAACAGCGTATAATGCGGTGTAGTTTGATGAATGCTTTCTTTGCACAACGGATGCATGAGAGGATTGTTGGCTAAGACTTATGTTGACGATGGAGCTTGAGCAAGATTTGTGGTAATTATCGCGTATAAGGCTCCAGCTTTTATAGAAGGTTTTAGCTTCCTGGCTTAAAAATAAGAAAAATTTTTGTTTGGAATACACTCAGCCAATTTTCTTCTTTTAAGCCATTGGCAGCAACGACTTTTTTCACGTCCATATAAGGATTTTTTTCCCTATTACTGAAGTGCTCAACATGAGTGGGTGCAAGTCAGCATGTGATTTATTGAAAGACGAGAAACGCGAGAAATATACAAGGAACACAATATTATTTCCCATATGTATAATCTTTTCCACTTGCTATAATTGATTTCAGTCACCGAAAAAGAAATCAAGCAATGGTATAAAGGATTTGTGCGGGATTGCCCGAATGGGATGCTGACTGAAGCTGTGAGTTGACTTATAGTTATCGTATCCGAAATCAGCTCTGGAATCCAGCGATAATTTGCATACTGCAAGACTATAGTGCTCTGCAGAATTCCGTTTAAATTTTCTTCAACGAGGAATTCAATGAAATTGATTCTGTACGCCTAATTTCCGTCGATTCCGTCCAATTGGAGTACGCTTTTCTTCCAACGATGAAATATTTTTTGCTATTTAGGCCCTCGCAAAGAGAAGAAAAGAGAAAATGCCCCATTACTACATAATGAATAATGAATTAGATCAATTATGCATGAAGTTTCGGAAAGTAATTTGAATTTGCAGAATTTCCATCTGGTAGGGCCGTCTGCAAACTTTTGTACAAAAAGGGTACTTTTCCGCTATTTGTACTCATTTTTTCAAAAAAGGATCTTGCTTCATTAACTGTACGTAATTTGGCCAAAACTTCGGATGGAGTGTCAACCTTCTGCCACGTTTGGAAAAAAATTGAAGTTAATGATTGGCAGGTTTTGCCAAGAGGTGGTTTAGCCTAACTAATGTAACTTCAATCTGCTTTCAATCAACAATGACCCCCGTTTTCATTCAACTGTTTTAAAACTGAACATTCATATTATGAAAATACCATCATGGATCAATAAACCATTAGACTTGCCCAAAACAGCGAAGTGGGCCATTGCCTCATCATCTAAGCGACGAAATGAGCCGCAGCGCCAGGTACTTCAAGCCATCATTTCTATTCTTTCCTGGCTAAATTCGTATGGCGGAAACAATTTGAAGGGAAAGATATCTTTGAGTCATTGCCTGAAAGCGTCCGAAATGCTTCAATAAATGCATTGTCTTGTTTGCTTCTACAGAAAACCGCTAAAAAGCTTTTAAGTCTGATTTTTAAATGCTTTCGCACCTCACCGGATGAAAAATATGCCAAACTGAGCCTAAATTTGTTAGTTTGTATCTTGACACGTGGCAGGGAGACAATCCTCATAGAATCCATGGAAGATTCTAGCCTAAGGCACGTTTTCAATTAGAATATTTTAAAAAATGGATCCGGATAACGGAAAAGGTCCGAGAAACGTCACAGGCCTTCCGTCAGTGGCGGTCCAAGGAATTTTTTGGAAGAGGGGAGGGGGACAAAGTTGCTAAGGAATAAATATAGCCAAAGCCACACTCTGTAATTTTTTTGAGATGATTTCCGATGTTGCGGGTCCGTAACTCCGAAATTTTCGAAGGATGCGTGGCGCCCCATAACCGCGAGATTTTTGAGAGGGATGTGGCGGCAGCCATTATTTTGATTAGTAAAAACAAGATTCTTGCACAGTCTTACAACTCGAGCCTGTACCTAGCAAACGGGCTAAGCGTTGAACACTTGATACACACAAAAGTAACGGATCTCGAGAGTTGTGCAAATTTGCATACAACTTCGAATGTGGTGCAGTAATTGAGGATATTATGGTGGTGGTGGCACATATATGGGCATATTAGTATTTACGACTCTTTGACTTTTGGCCTCAGAAAATGATATCCGTCCTAACATCTGCCACCCCCACTTCGAGTCATGGTTGAGAGGCTCAGCGAAGCTAAGATACGGCCCTCGTAAATGTTATGCGTAATGACCTAGAGAGTCAGCTGTAAAGGCCATACGTTGTCGCGGTTTCGATACCAGTACGATCATTTTTCAGGGCTTCCAGAAAATCTACAAGCAGTTCTTTCCACAAGGCGATCCATCCGACTTTGCATCGTTCGTCTTCAAGGTATTCGACGAAAATAAGGTGCGCCTTATTCCCGCCACCGAATGAGGCGAGTCGGGTCGAAAAAAGCAGAGCGAGGCCCCGACCTCGTAGCTGCATCGAGCTCGATCCCAGCATCATGCTCTATCATTCAGGATGGCGCGATCGAGTTTCACGAGTTCATTCGAGCACTTTCTATTACGTCACGAGGGAATCTTGATGAGAAATTACATTGTACGTTTCGTCAAACCTCGTAAAAGCAGCAACAACGATATTTCGCTTCAGGGGCCTTTAAGTTATATGATCTCGATAATGACGGTTTCATCACACGGGATGAGATGCTCTCAATCGTTGATTCCATCTACAAAATGGTTGGTTCGAGTGTGAAAATCCCGGATGAGGAAAGCACGCCTGAAAAGCGGGTGGACAGAATATTCAGAATGATGGATAAGGTTTGCTTAGTTTTTTTTGTGGTTGGAAACTTGAATGACTTCGGGTTCTCGAAAAATTTGTAATATCTGCGAATAACTTTAAATGATTCGCAAGAAGGGACCTTTTTCTTGCTACAATCTAGAACAACCTCTTGTTACATTTTGTAGCATTGTTACATAGCAACTAAACGTCCTACTTAAGTTCTTCGGCATAATTTCATTCCATGTAAGCTCTATCCAAATTTCACTATAACAAGGGAACCAGAAAAAAATCTGTACAGTGAGCAGAGAAAATGACATGCTGCTTTTTGTTCCTTTTTACTTCCATCTCCAGCTAAAGCAATTATTTGGAAGACGCAGTAAGGCAATATAAGCAAAATACATGCATCTATAGTAAAAGTACCCTAATTTCACGCGTATAAGGCGCGGGGGATTTTTTTCCAAAATCGACCAGCCCAGACACGCCAAAGGACTTTACAACCAAAGGAACCTATAACGTGCTGTATAATAGTGCGATGTAAGGATTTCTTTCCGGGAAGCAGTGAACCGGCTGAGCGGCTCGCTTGAAAATTCGAAAAAGTGCGCCTTATACGCGTGGAATTAGGGTAGAGATCATGTGAAAAATGAGCTACATAAAAGATTCAAATCAGTTGAAGGTCCTTATCTCGAAATTTTCCTTCTTCATAGCCAATCCGCCAAAGTCATCATATTAGTGAGTATTGCCTTTTGGTCACATGTTGCTCAAATCGATTACTTCCACCATTTGTGAAAAACCTTTTTCAATGAGTCGAACATGTATTCATTATAACTGTGACCACATTGATATGACCGTATGGAAAACCAATTTGTATTGTCAACATTTTTCAGAAAAAAGGATGTAACGGTGGAAAAAATCAAAATCCATACTTCACTATTTTAGTATTACTATTTTGGCGAAACTTCAAGCTTTCTCCCCGATAATTTTTTCACACACAGGACACTCGCCATTCTGAATCATTTGCATCCACATGTCTCAGTAATTTCTCATGTGATAAAGCTAACAACGCAGATATTCCGCGAGTTTCCAGGATTACATATTGCAAAAGCTGCAACCCTATTTTTATTGAGCCTGTGAGCTTGATTTGCTCCCATGGGTGCAAGAAATATCTGATGTGATAAACGATGTTAACGGGGAATGCTTGCGTGGAATAGGGAGCAATTGCTCCTTCAGTGGAGCTAGAACCAGAAGCTGTGACTTGTATGATAGCTTTTAGAAATTTCTTGTCACGATGAAGTTAATAAAGCGAATTTCGGGGGCGCTTGTAAGCAAATATCTGCATATTTTCAGAACAATGACGCACAATTAACATTGGAGGAATTCAAAGAAGGAGCGAAGGCAGATCCATCAATTGTCCACGCATTGTCCCTGTATGAAGGGTTATCTTCTTGATGTATGATACTGAACATAATTAGATTGTTTGTTTCTCCACGATTTCTATAACAGCTATTTGTTCAAGCACTATTTGTTCGGCTAGGTAACAATGACTCTGTCCATGATGAGAACCCATTGGAACATGTAATTTCATTCATTCCATTTATCACAGAGAATTATTACTTTGAGGTTGGTCGAAACGACTACAAATTTATTCAAAGACCCTAACCGTTACGTGGTTATTATATCTTGGTAAATTTCTGAGTTAGTAGCCGGAATAGATTCTGTAATGTTCAGCTCCCATTATCGCGTAATATATAACAGTCAAGCCTTACATTTGAAGTTTTAATCCGGATAAACAGCTAAAGCTCAAAATGCTTGTCTTACAGAAAACAAAATTAACCAAAATGCAGATGCTCGGCGTCAAAATCTCAGCCTAGTGACTGATGCTATAAAGGTAATTCGAATAATTTATCTTCACAAAAAGAGAATACTCGGAAGTGTAGAGATACCCGAACATGAAATTGAACAAAAACCCACTGACATACATCACACAACACATACTGATCGCAAACATCTAACATAGCTATAGAAGTTGCGTGAAATAATTCAATCCTTGCCCGAAGTCCCAGATGGCTGCGCTAACGCCATGCTTTCTGGCAATATTAAGACGCATCTCAATGGATGTGAGCGAGGGATAGTAAATCTTTGACGATCTGGAATTTCATTACAGTTGCCCGCGTGAAAAGAGAAAAAAATCAAGTCGAAGAGCTCGAACTGCGATATAACGTCCTGACGCACAAAAATGATGAGCCTTATGTGAGATGTACATAAACCCGAGACTTTACATCGCCAACAGCCCAATCACTCTTTCAAATCGTGGAAAATTACTTCTAGTGGAAAATGAGACGAAGTACGGCTCGGGAGCAAGGAAAGGGATCGGAGGGGGGGGGGGGAGGAATTACAAGACAATATGAATGATTATACTATAGATAGGCGATTTCATTCTTTTTGTCTAGTGAAATTCTCCACGGTCTTAAGCAACCCTAATGTGAGACATATTCCAATGGGCAGCATTAAATAAAAAAGTCACTACCGCAGATGACACAAATCACTTTATGTCAATTATCTGACAGCATCATATTAAGTTGGCGCAAAAATTTTTGGTGCAAAAAAAAATTCCTTTACAAATACTAGGCCTAGATTCATAGTTCGGCTCCCTAAAAATAGTAGAAAATAGTAAATTTTCGCTTCATAGCAAATGTTCAGGCATAACACTCAATCAGTCATCGAGAAAGAACTTCCAAAAAGGGCGTTCCGATTTTTGCAATATTGGGATTGGTGTTAGAAAATCGTGGAGGGTCGCTAGATAGCCCGAAAACAGAAAATTTCATGTATGGTACCGCAACGAAAAATTTGTGGAAAAAATCATTTCCCACAAAAATCCTCTCATTACTGCACGATTTCAGCCAAAGCACTGTTCGATGCTCCGAAAAGCGTCACGGTGTTTTAAGTAGACATTCGGTTTGATTTCTGGTTCCAAACTGTGTTTTTGTGAAAAGGCTGCATAAGGAGGTTCCCCTAAAAAGTGGCACTTTCCTAAATTTTTTGTTTTTGCATTTTCATACGAGATTGAAGCCTGCCGAAATAACGTTTGAACTTCTGCTGTGGAAAACTTTTTTTAGAACATTACGCCATTCTCTAGCACCAAATTAAATCGCAAATTCTGCAGTATTATTTTTGAAATCTTCGTTCTCGGTAGTCAACTTATGAGAGTTAGCCTGAACATATTGTAAAGCGCAAATCTATTATTTCTAGGCCCGAAGAATTTGAGTCTAGCATTTGAAATGTTACTGATAGTCGTTTAACAACTTTTGCACCAACCTAAAATGGGATATGCGAGCATCCCCCTACGACAGAACTTCTTCAGATAAAGCGTTTCAGTATAGGTACGAAGCTTTTTGTTGAAATTTCTAACCAAGATTTAGTTTAATTGTAGGAGTACAAAATGCACCGGTTTTTTCTTCTAAAGTCGATCAGCCTGAACACACCCAATAATCTCGCGACCAAAAAATTCTAGCGTGCTGCTCCATATTTGAAAGGATTGTGTGGGAGAGCGACCATTTCGCGAGGCACACTGGTGCGAGCTGTTTGCTTGAAAAAAAAAATGGATCTTCTACTAGGAAACTAGGGTAATTGTGCATCAAACATACCAGAGGAAACCTTCCAGATTGACCTGCCAAAAGAGTAGTACCTAACCAAAGCGGTAAATTGAGAAGCGTTATAAACAGCTAATCTCATTTTTTGCTCTGCAATCTCTCTCTGCGCTTTTTCCTGACAAAAAGTCACGTAATTTCCTATGAATAATTTGTCTGCAACAACTTGCTGGATGACGGCACTGCCACTAAATGATTTGCGACAGAAGGCCTTATAAATGAGAGCGACTAGTCTGTTCAGTAGGGGCCTACATAATCTCGAAAAAGTTTCAGAACATAAATGTTGGAGGCGAAAACTTCGAAACTGCTGGCAAAAAATTCGTGAAAGTTTCGGCAATTTTTCAACAGATATCTTGAAACTCTGCGGATAACAATGAACAGTTATTAAGCCAAATACTCGTCTGCTATTTCTTGTAGGACCTAGCACAGAACTAACTTCGAAGTTGGCGACAGCCGCAAAAATCGCCCTCTTGTCTCATGGTGTTCTAAAAGAGTGACGTACTGGTATGAGGCGCCGCTATAACCGATGGGATCAGAGGTTCGATTCCCATCCTTGAGCATCCTCATCCTTAAGCTAACCAAGTCATCTAGCCTCCGGCAACGGTATGAACCGTGGTGATGTGGGATTGTTAATAATTGACTTTGTAACCAGCTGGGGGGCAAGTCATTTTTAGCGTTCGGACACATTGAGGAGCTTTTCAACAGAAAAAAATGCGTTTGAACCTTGCCCGCAGAGTTTACAAAAAACTCTTGTACTCTTTGCCTTTGTTGAGTTGATTCCACAGTTAGCGTTCCAAACTCCAAAGACTGCACACATCATTTCTCAAAGTCACTAAATTATTGAGCGATCAGAGGATTGATTCTAACGTAATCATTCCTCAAAATCTTGCGTCCACATTATGTGATATGAAGCTGCAGATGCTGCAATCGCATCTATTCTCTCCCCCCCCCCCTCCCCACAGTCTCATTCCCCAACAAATTAACACAATTTCGATTTTTGCCACCTCATTTGAAAGAGCACAATGCCTCTCACTCATGAGAGCATGAATCAGATTACAGAGGTGCTGTTTGTCGCTCTTGAAGTGAAACGGACAACTCTGCCAAATGGTGTTGTTTTATGTGTTAACCCCTATCAAGAAATGGATCATTTCAAAGTACTGGGTTGTTTCATTTCCAATAACAGTCACTTCTTGCTATTCAGATTTGTTTTGTTGTGACTATTTCAAGGACAAAGCTGTCCTCCTTGCCAAAGTCTTGGCAAGTTTGTACTGACCTCTGATTTTGAGATAAAAATGGAAGAAGAAAAAATCGATTATTTACAATAGGTCGCCAAAAATGTGACAGTGCAAAAAATTGTAATCGTCAGTACATGAAGCTTTTTGCCCGCTATGTCTGACTGAAAAAGGTTTTTGCCTATTCAACGTTTCAATGCGAACTTAAAAATTTTGAGAGAAATGACCAAAGTAATTCCGCCGTCATCTACCGTGAGCTCAAAAATCGAGACTTTTCGTAAAAGCGTCCAACCGCGCATTTCAATCCAGGAGGGTAGGCCGTAAAACTCTTGTGTTATGCTTCTGATAATCTCTGCAAATTCAGATTTTCAGCAACCGAATTCGAGATAACCGAAGTTTAAGCGGTCTTCTTCTTCCAATTTATCTCTGCGCTTTTTTTATATGTCGTATGGTGTTTGCCAAGATTTTTGCCCTCTCCTAGATTTCGCATTGAGTTAATCGTTGAAATAAGAGAGGTTAAGAATTTTACATAAAGCGATAGAGCACTCAGAAAAGCCTAACATTTCAGATTTTTTCCTCTGAAACATGACTGCACTTGTTGAATAGATCAATGATTAGTTCAGATATTCAAGACAACTAACCCAGTAGCGATGAAGTGCTCTTTGGACTTTGAGTCCCATTCCAGCTTACTGTCCTTCTTTTTCAAGTTTTCTATGTATCTGAAAAAAAAAAGCCGATGTGAAGGAGGGTATTACCTCAGGATTAGTACTAGAGAGGAGATTGCTCACTGTTGAAAGTTCACTGCTTGCATGTTTTTGCCAGTGTATTCGTATCCGTAGTGATTCAAGCCAACCATCAACTGGCTAGCTATGTCAGGCATCTTGTTCAGAACAGTTGCCAAAGAACGATCCACCCAATCATAAGGTGCAACGCCGAGCATGTCTTTTGAAGCATAGTCGTATGTCATCAGCTTAAAAAACGCTTTCGCTTTTGAAGCAGCGATGCAATATCTCTACAAACCTGGATGTAATCAACTTTCTCAGATAGCGTGAAGAAGAATCCAGCCGTGAACATTCCGGTGGGACGACTAGAAGTAGTGCGATGAAAGTGGCTTAATTAATACAAAACAATTATCTTACTTCTCAGGGTTCAAAGGTGGTCCAACGGGAACAATGAGCTGTAAGTTCTTTTTGTGGAACGCATCGCCCCACGAGCGAAGCATCTCGATAAGTAGCCTGTAATTAGAGGTCACCGCCAAGAACAAAATAAATAAGCTGAACCTACTCTACAGCTTCTCCTCCAGTTTGAACCATGGCGTTAGCCCAAAGTTCCACTACTGCACCATCAAACTGTGTTCGCTAAAAATTACTGTATATTAGCATGTGCGAAAGACATCGTATAGGCCGTCCGCGCAGGGCGCGGAGAATGCGTGAGTGTGTATCGCGCGTCACTCCTCTTTTCTCCTGCACTCTCGCTGCTTGTTCTCTCTGCGCCTCTTCCGATCATGAACTGTCTTCGATGGACACGACAGCGTTGTTCTCCACGCACGGCGCGGACGGCCTATACTACAGGTGATAACAATGGCCCTCATTTGATCAGTAGCTTTGTGTAATTGCACCTTTTGATTTTGTCCTGGTAGGACAGCGTCGCCAAAGCCTGAGGTAATTCTTCAATGATTCTGCGGTTTTGTGGTGCCTTCTCGTTATTTTCTAACCTCTTCAACCATGACAGTGATTGTGCCGCCACCGGTTTGTCTTACTGCAGATTTCAAAAATCATGCACTTACACAAACGACGGGTCAAATGAGGACGACTGCAACACCGTCCTCGTCAGTGCAAATGCTCAATCTCGCTCATGTGCATCATCAAAGAGTGCTAGCGGAGAGGGAAAGCGCGCCATGAGTATATGCTCAGCTCTTGCGTAGATTTCTTGCGAGCACGCCGAGACGTCTTGTAGTGAATTGAAAATCTCACAGTTAACAAGTTTATCAAGTCGTCACCACAGCGACGCATCCATCCTTCGTTCTGAAGGAACTGTGCTAGAACTTCAACTTGCCATCCATCGAACAGCACTCGGGGTACAATCTTGACATCGCTATTGTTCTTTCGGACGTCGTCCATCCATTCTAAAACGAGATTCGAGTGAACACGAACTAGTGAAAGCACCACTGGACACAAACCATGATCGATGTCATGTGTTCCAAGGATCTGACAGGTAAAGCTCATATCTTGTCTTTGAGGCTTGACCTTCAAAGAAAACTATTGACTTCTTTTAGAAACATTAGGGAGACAGACCTGCAGCCACACCGGCGACACGTGTGTTAGTTTATGTGATACCCATTTTGCAAGGTCGTAACCTTTCGAATTCCACTAAAGACAAAGAATGCCAAACTATTTCAATTATTACAGGATAGACTTACCGGAGTGACATAAACTAACATCGCATTTTCAAATTTACGCTCAGTGTAGTCCACGTTCTCGTGTTTCTCCAAAACACTTTGCTTCGTGACGCTGGCTGGAGGATGAACGAGTTGAATGGAATCTTCCTATAAACTGATGCAGCGTTGATCAGATAATTTACTGAATTTCATTTATTTGGGTAAGAACGTTAAAAATGATTAGCATTAATGAGAGATTCGAGGAATACAGTAAGGTGAGAGTAACGTAACGCACCACTTCTGTTTCTTTCTGAGTCTGCTTCTCCTTCTCTTTCTTCTCCTGAAATCTGAAGAGATCAGAAGCGGCAAATAAAAAACTTGAATAACCACAATTTACCAGCCATCTTCAACTGCTTGCTGAAAGATTCCGTAAAGACGTACCAGTTTCAACTTCCTATCGGATTTACCAAGTTGGAGAGAGACAGCAGGCAACAACAACACAGTAGTCAGTCGTAGCCAAAGCATCTGCACACTTATAGTTGCCTATGATTCTATCAATATAATTCCAACAGAATAAGTAAGACAAATTATTGTATTTTCCTTACTGAGATTTGAGCATCAATTATATTCGAAAACAAAACATTTATTTGAGGGCAACTCAAGTTCATGTACACATATTGAGCCAACAACAATGGACTAAAACAAGTTCGAAAAAAGAGATCATTTGGCTTTCCTAGCGAATTTATCGTGCCGCAACCACCACTGGTCCCAATCGTTGTTGTAGTCCCGTTTGAAAACTGGGAATGACACCAGAGGGTCTGGATGGATATCTTGCAAACGGAGTCCAGCGCGTTCTACCTAAAAAACGAATTTGTGTAACCAGCACAATCCCCAGTAAAGCAAGTTCAAAGATTACATGCGACATCGGTGGTTCGGTCCAGTCCTTGTACCATTCTCGGTAATCGAAATTCCGAAAATCAATGCCAAACGTTATGGTACCTAAGGAAAAATTCCGCGATTACAAAAGAAGCTCGACAAGAAAGCAGAAACTGACCATGCTCTTTTGCTGCAAGCAGTTGAGCTTTCAACATGGCGTACTGTTCGCGGCAAAGGCCACTTTTCAATATATCGATAGGATGATGAGTTCCATCGGATAAAAACTGCTCAATTAGAGCGGGATTTCGGTAATCGAAGAACAGGTACTCATCCCGACATACCTATAACAGGCACAGTTATGGAAGCATCAAAAGAAGCACCACCGCAATAACTTTCTATATGATGTACATATTGAATGAATGTTGAGTGTCGGATTACTAAAAAATGAATGGAACAACATGTTAGATAACAATGATTGCTAAAATGCATTTAGCTGATGAGGTACGCGACGAAATGGGAATTATCGCTTCAATAGAGGGCATATAGCAAAAGTACTAACCGGGCAGGCGTTGTTCACATTGAATCGACCATGTTTGTCGATGCAGAATAAGCGCGGAGGTGGTTGCAAAATTGATTGTCCCTACAATACTAGGTTTTTTCCTGTAGCATAAATTGTTAAGCAACCTTGAAGTTCCTTTTATACCATCGGTAGATTGGTAACCCTTTATATGCATCGTGATATGCTGCAATATAATTGTGAATTTGTCGAAACTGAAAACTCGCGGTGACCAACCTTTACTTTTCATGTATGCGATTTGCTCTTCAACAGTATGCCTAGGCTTGTAAAGTCCCTTCTTTTTCTCGACATGATTGAACGCCCACCCTGTCTAAAGATCAATGATGCGACCAAAGGCAAACGTTGGACTCTCTGCGAGAGATTATCAATAAACCCAAAAAACACCTCTTCTGGGGAGAGAACTTCACGGAACTTCTTCTGCGGCAATCCTAGTGAACTAGTCGCCTGAATAAATCGACGAGCAACGAGCTGCCCGGTATTCAGCATCCTGTAGTTTTAGCATACGCAACAGTTGTATCGTATGACTTCAAAAAAAGCGGGTGCAACCCGACAAAAGCAAGAAAGCATATATAGTCTAGTATAAATTTATTGATAAGAAGATGCTCAACATCAAATGAATCGAAGATATGCGAACAAGAAAGCGCAGATTTATCATTAAAACGTTCATAAAGTAAAACCGGCCTAGATACATGACAAACATATAAAATGAGTTTGTAGAAGATTCCGAACAATGTTTAGAGCCAAGAACTCAAGGGCTTCATATAAATCTTTACGTTCGGACTTGGAATTTTCCAGCCTTCGTAATGTACTTTACCCCTTTGAAAGGTTTGTACTTCTCGCCGTACATGTCCAAACGATTAACTTTAAGCCCAGATACAGCGAGCTGATTGATGCGAAACCGCAATGAGATTGGCGGGGTCTCTATACTCGTCGTTCCAGATACGGATACCTTGAATGAGAAGGTGAGAAAAGTCAAAAAGACCCGAGTTTCTTCAATTTACGCACCGTTCCTTTGATGTTGGGTGGTTTGCCCAATTCTATCTTCCCGATTGTCCATTGTAACAAGTGCGAAGTTGGATCAAATGTGCATTTACCTTGCGATGGAACCAGGTTGCAATTCAAGACCGCTTTAGGCATTGACATTTCCACTACTACATCCTCTAACTGAAAGAAACATGGGAAGATTTTATCATGCAATAGTGTTCCACTGAAGCTCTTTGTCTACTCGTGTGCTCGCTACGCTCATAATAACAGTTTGCAGCCTTTTACATTCTCGTCAGCAAAACATCGAACCGAGCTACTCAAAAGCGATATGGATGTTTCTAATCAGGAAAAAACCAGCAGATTGACCATAGCCAATCATGCTCAAATGTGAAAACACATAATGCTATCCCAGATGAGAGAAAACAGAGCTAATCGGATCAAAAAACCCCGGATGCTTGCTCTATCTTGCAAAAAAAGCCCAAAAGAAGCCAAGTCTCTAATTGTGTCATAGATTCTAGAGCACTGACCACTCTTACTTCGCTCAGACCAAAGACTCACAATCTTTCCCATGCTTTGCTTCGGGCCTACAGTCATTTCGATTCTGCTACCTGTGCCTCCTTTCAGTACTATACAATGCCGAACGTAGATTGGTATGGCAACCATACTGAAAGGATATATGCATTGCGCGCAAATCACAATGAACATTTCTGATTTGACACGTACTTCTGAGTAGCAATATGATAAGATAAAAGACGAAAGTTTCCATCTGGAGGCACAAATGACAAAACACGCTCGTTCTGAATAGGGAAGTAGTACACTTTACATAAAGCCAAAGAAAAAACAAACCTCCCATCTTTTGAATCGTACGCAAGGATGAAAGGAAACGTCATCAAGAAGACGCGGATTCACCAACGTCATCGTCAAGTCAGGCATTCCAGACAGCTTGCAGCATACGTCGATCTAAAAGAATGCAGGGTGATAAGAAGCGAAGCACCAAAAGTATCTTTCGGAGTGACATATGCAGTGATCAACATGAACTCACATAGCCTTGGATTTCAGCGAAAACCGTGGCTCCCTGTTTGTCAATAATGGCGTCAATTTCTTCGATAACATCAAAATAAGCTTCATTATTAGTATACTTTACTCCCTGCCGTCGCCAAGGTATATTTGAAAGCTGGCCCGTAGGGAGCGTTTCGGAATGATTTGTTCGACCCGTAACCTAAACGCCTTTTTGATGGAGCGATGTAGCAAATTTCCAAAATTGTTGCTCTCACCTGATTGGCAATGCTTCTGAGAAAATTAGGCGGTTTAATGAGATCTTGAAGAATGTTGAGCTCCGTAACTAGGGGATAACCATTATCAAGCATTTCGTCAAGCAGCTGAAATACGTAAAACCAGAATAAAGAATAAAAAGAAGGAAAGATTCGACGTTTTCAATACCCTCTGTGGGCATGCGCCAAACGCACTCTTTTTCATTATCGAAGAGGCTACTGAATGCGTGCGAGCCTATTACAGTGACTTGCGGGGGCCACCTGATTACCAAGTCAATGCTATTATCCTCCCAAATTACATTGGTACCAATTTACCGGCTTCGGAGGGTAGAGGGCTTGGTTGGCCCAGGGGCGGGATCGAACCCGATCCATCTGGTCATAGCGGCGCCTTATACCATTATGCCACTCGTATCCTGTCGTCGTGAAACCAGAATGAAAAAAAAACTCCAAAAGGACACACCTCAAAAACCATAACGCAATTCTCTTTGATGGAAGTATCGGAACATTCATCAAAGTACTGAGAAAAAGTATAAACGACACGATGCAAAAATTCGATGACCATAAGAGGAGGAACTAAAAACCAAAATGTGAAAATGAAATTTGAATTCTTCTGAGAAACTCACTCTCTGTAGTGGTCACCGCTAAAAAATAGACCTGATTGTGGTATACATTTATCAAGTAGTGGTGAGGAGTGGACAGCACAGGTGAGACATCTTCCGGAGAAGCAGCCTGTAATGAAACGATTACCGGATATTGGAAATCTATTGAAAATGGGATCAGGTGATTGATCACTTGTTCTTGCCGAAGGGTTGCAGAACAACAGTCATGAACTTATCACTTAACAAAAAAATATTATACCTTCTTTTGAGCGTCGAAAAAGTAGTCACATATGGAACGATGGATGACCGATTTCCAATGTTTCTCCAGAATCACGTCCCTAGAAGCGACGAAAAATTCACGTAGGAAACAATCTTCAGAAGATAATTTTTCCATACATGTATGACGCTTAGAGAGGAGGATCGTCTTAGTCACGAACTGTTCAACTTATCAAAACAATTCTCTGTATACATGAGAAGATAAGCAAGTTGACTGCGGCGTTTCATAAAGGAATGGACGTCAGGCATGAGGCAGCAAAGGCTGACCGCATTTGCTTCTGGAAGTGCTCCAGACTTTCTTGCACCTCTCATCATTCTTCGCACCTTCACCTTAATTACTTTACGAGCAAGAAAATTAGAGTATTTTACTTTAGACCAATTGGAAGTCTTGCAATTTCTTTCATTCTCAGCTATGAGCGGTTTATCCTACAGAACATCGGGTCCAGAGCAGTTTCGTTCAAATTCGTGGAGTAGAAAGGATTAAGACTGCTGGAAAACAAAGAACTTGGCTATCAATCTTTGTCGAAGAGTCTTGATTGAAATTATTAAGACGAAAAAGGATTCACAGGAATATGTTCAACATCCCGGCTTGAAGATTTGATAGACCAAGTTAAACTTCTACATCCAGTCAAAATTCTGAGATTTATACCGCTTTATGTTAAATTAGGCTAATTCTATAAACATTTATTGAAATGTACATTTTATGTTTCGAATGCGAAACATGAAACTTATATCTCACAATCTACCACAGTAGAAAAGTTTACGAATAATAACTGGACATAGGTCCAAGTAGTACTTAGAGGTGCGGAGAAGTAATTAGAAGTGCGAGGAAATTGAGGCTCCTCAGGTACTTCCATAATCACAAGCGGCAGGCCTTTGCTGCCTCCTGCCCGACCACCTAAGGGCTCAAGGACAAAGTTCACGCGATTTGATCGTCGCAATTCTACAGATAAGTGTTACGAGTTCATTGCATGCCGATCTACTTGTATTTCGGTTATGGTAGTTACTCACGATTAGTCGTGTTGGAAAACTATCAGGCCCTGGCCAGACTTCGCTCAAGCGCCCAAAAACGCTCAAAAGCGCTAAGCGCTGAAAAGCGCGCAAAAGCGCCCAAATTTCTCTGGTGTCTCTACAGTTTCTCGTGTGAGGAGAGATGAAAGAGAGTGAGGAGAGGTTAGAGAAGTTTGGGCGCATTCGGGCGCTTTTGAGCGAAGTCTGGCCAGGGCCTCACAACCGAGTTGCAAGAAGATCGGCATGCAATGATATTGTTACAGTTGTCTTGTTGCGACCAATCGCGACGATCAAATCGCATGAACTCGACGATCAAATTGCGTGAACTCTGCCCGAGGCCTAAGGGAATCAAACAACTCGAACTTGCTTTCTTGTGAGCGATGCATCATTCGAAGTGATGTAAACCCAAGATCAGCCTGTACAACAAAGGCACACGCCATATTTAATCCGCTTGATCCAATTCCCTATTGGTCAAATCAGTGAACAACCAGTAGCGAAGTGAATGTCCACTTGACCCACTTTATCCACTTCACTATTGGTCAGTTCATTGATTTAACCAATAGCGAAGTGGATGAAGTGAGCGGATCAAGTATGGCGTTTGCCAAATGTGTAGGCAGCGTTTTCGGGTCCTATAGTCAGAGAATGGATAATGACTTTCTGCATGTACGTTGTCGCGAGAATTTGAATCTTATATATAAAGCTGAATGTCTGTCTGTATGTCTGTATGTATGTCTGTACGTATGTGCGGAATAGAAATTTTTATTTCTGAACCGATCGGGACCAAACTTGGCACACATATACTTCGGGGCAGGGAGCGTGTCATAGGCTACTTTTCGTTATCGATCGATATCGATTTTATCGATTTTTATCGATTTTTTTGCTGAGTTCACCTACGGGGCTGGGAGTTGGCACAGGGGGGTAATCGAGCATGGGGATTCCGAATACAATATTGGTTTTCAGGATTATCGATTACTTTTATCGATTTTATCGATTTTTTTGCAAAGTTTGAGCTACGGGGCTGGGAGTTGGCACAGGGGGGTAATCGAGCATGGGGATTCCGAATACAATATTGGTTTTCAGGATTATCGATTACTTTTATCGATTTTATCGATTTTTTTGCAAAGTTTGAGCTACGGGGCTGGGAGTTGGCACAGGGGGGTAATCGAGCATGGGGATTCCGAATACAATATTGGTTTTCGGGATTATCGATTACTTTTATCGATTTTATCGATTTTTTTGCAAAGTTTGAGCTAGGGGGCTGGGAGTTGGCACAGGGGGGTAATCGAGCATGCTGATCATCCCCAAGGGGGGTGATCAGCATGCTCGATTACACCCCCGTGCCAAATTCCAGCCCCCTAGCTCAAATTTTCAAAAAATCGATAAAATCGATAAAAGTAATGGACGATCTTGAAAACTAATATTGTATTCGTAATCTGCATGCTCGATTACCCCCCTGTGCAAACTCCCAGCCCCGCAGGTCAAACTTTACAAAAAAATCGATAAAATCGATAAAAGTAATGGACGATCCTGAAAACTAATATTGTGTTCGTAATCAGCATGCTCGATTACCCCCTGTGCAAAATCCCAGCCTCGCATGTCAAAATTTACAAAAAATCGATAAAATCAATAAAAGTAATCGATAATTCTGAAAACTAATATTGTATTCGGAATCCCCATGCTCACTTTCCCCCCTGTGCCAACTCCTAGCCCTGTAGGTGAACTCTGCAAAAAAATCGATAAAAATCGGTAAAATCGACATCGATCGATAACGAAAAGTGGACTGTGACACCCGCCGGGGCCCGAAGTGTATGTGTGCCAAGTTTGGTCCGGATATGGCGGAGCCGGGTATGCCAGCTAGTAGATCATATTCACAATTGGCACAAAGTATCGGCATTGTTCTGCGCAACTCCGCTCAAAATGGCGGTCGGGCAGGAGGCAGCAAAGGCTCGCCGCTTCTGCTTATGGAAGTACCTGAGGAACTTCAGACTTCGTCGCGCCTCTAATTACTTCTTCGCACTTCCAATTATAGATGACCTATGCCAAAATGATCGTTGATTTCTCAAAGCGTGGCAAGTTTTGAGATAGCTTTTATGTTTTAAATTCGTAGCAAGTAAGATAGATAACAAGTTCAAAAAGGACTCATAGATAATTCAACGTCAGATGATTTTAAAGTATGAATTGGTGTATTCAATCTTCAAACCAGAATCTCAAACATAAACATGTAAATCTTTCTCAGTTATTCCAATCGAAGACAAGAACCTTGAAGAATTATTGCACTCGTCCTTTATACTGCATCAGAATCAGTTCCTTCTGTTGCGAATTTTGGAGTAAAATTTCCTGAACCCAATATCCAAATAAGTTGAAATCGATTATAGCTGAGATTAGAAGAAATTGCGAGAATCTCAAATTGATCCGGGGTGAGATACTCTCCAAAAAGATTTTCGTTCAATTCTTCAACTTGTAAAGTATCAGAGGTGTGAAAAATGATTAGAGGCGCGAGGAATCTGGAGCTCCCCAAGCGCTTCCAGAGGCAAATGCGGTAAGCCTTTGCTGCCTCCTGCATGACGTCCGCTCAAAATAGACACTGACAACCATAATACAATGAACCAAAACTTCCAAGTAACTGACCCGGATGTGTTGACAATGAACAAACTATTCAGCATGTCATGAAAACTCGCTACTGCTCAGCTCGCTACTGAAATATTAATATAAATTGAAAAAGAAAGCAACGGAATGCAAAAAGTAACTGTTGGTCCGTACTGAAAGGTCCAAAGAAAATAATTATGTTATTGGTATGATATCTTTGAAGATGTGAAATGTGAAACAGTACATGAAAATCTTCATCAGAACAGAAAGAAGATAGGTTTAGTGCTGGAACGATGCACAAGATCAATAAGAACTTCAGTTGTCGTGCTCTACTCCTATTAGATGCTCCATTCATGCGCCCTTTAATTATTTCCATCGCTTTTCCACTGGAAATGGCTGCGTTTCTCGCGTTTCTTGAGCTTTTGAGAACATTCATTCTCATGTTGTACTTGAATCCTGCTTCATAAATACCACTGTTTTTTGCATCACACATTGACCTTCATTTTCCCTTGTAACCTTATTTCTAGTCATAATATCCGCCAAAGTATACGATAAAGAGATTTTTTCTTTTTTTTTCTTCATTGATATTTATGAATCCTGTTCCGACTCAGACTAGTCAGATGCTTAGACTGGCACTCCAAATCCAAACACATCCTCTTAGGGCCCGGCCATAGTTTACGCGATTTCAGTCGCCACGCGATCATTTGCCACATGTCTTCACCTCGAACACTGGCAAACTACAAAAGCATAGTCTTTGTAAATTGTGTGGTGATAATTGGCCTGTCTTCTGTGCATTAGAACGCGCTATCGATGAGTTATGGACAGTGCATCAAAAAGGGAAGAAGATTAAAGAGAAACTTCAAACAACGCGGGAGACCACTACTCAGCCTCGGGCGAAGTAAATTGAGGACACATAAGAAGACAGGCTCTCGGGTCCATCTGGCAGAGTAAAAAGATGCACTTTGTCTGAATCATGTCAAAAATCTTGCATTTTTAGATCCCATAATGAGTCCGTTTTTGGATGTCAGTGAGTCCACCCCCCCTCCCTCTCCCTGCCGGTGAAAGATAGCTGACCTGACCCATATAGCAAGCTTCTTTTTTGATCTTGGTGGCTGATGTAGGTTCCGAGCTAGAAGTAGACTCCGCGCACGAGTTGAGAACAGTGGCAAATCAGTATTTTTTAGATTTTTGCTCTTTTTCTGCTCGAAATTTTGTCGATTTTTCCAATCAGCCTCAGTGTAGAATCCCCAGCTAGTATTCAGTAGTTTCTATCATTGTGCTTTATTGTGCGCTGTTAGGAATCCTGGACAATTTTTTTGAATCTTCAAATTGCAGAAAGTCTATTTTTCACAATAAAATGTCTCTTTGCCGTGGGTTTTCTGGGGATAGAGAAACGAATACTACGATATGCTGACTTTGCGGCATAGTTTTTTTTTGAAAAATGCTATACAGGGGCATGTGCAAAAGTATCAGTTCCTCGCAAGCGACACCTGTCATTGGTAGCCGTTCTTCTTTTTTTGGAGTTAGGAATCCGTCATACTTCGCTGAGAAAAACCCCGAAGCGCCCAAAAAAGCCCGAAGAAGCCCAAAAAAGCCCGAAAGAGCCGGAATGCAGAAACGAACTTTTGGTAGAATTCTGACATTATTTTGGTGTGCGGACGACAGAAAATGAAGCAAAAAGGCTCGGTTGCGAAATCAACACATACATTAGCGTCAAAACGGAAGGAGCGTTTTGGCTTTTCAGGCTTTTTTGGGCCTTTTCGGGCTTTTTCCGGCGAAGTATGACGAAAAAAACCCTTAAAGGAAGCAAAAATTGAACAACTGTTCAAGTGAAAACAATCAGTACCAATGACTAAAAAACTAGTAGTCGTTTCCAGCTGAGAAAATTCAACCCGTGCCTACGGTTCTCTTTCCGTTTAGCCTCCCGTCATGCTATTTGTACGATTCCATTTAATGCTTTCAGGCAAATGAGCTCTGCAATTCGTCTTGTTGGGTCACATCTTCGCGAATTGCGCATCCATCTTTGTCAGAAAAGTCCTGCTTCGGGTAAGTTTTAGTTTCCGCACTACGAATGCAGTTGAAAGGGTTTTGTAATCCTCTTTTTTTTAATCTTAGTTGGTTTTTATTACAACATTTTGTTTTGGAGGGTATTGCAGTTTTCTCAATGCATAATGTTCTGTTATCATTTTTAACTGCTGTGCTCAAAAGTGCTTTTAGCTGGGGTACGCGCATTCATCGAAAGTGATTACGTGGGATTGAAGCAGGCAAATCCGCACTTCCCAATCTTGATTCGTGAGTGTTCCGGAATCGTCCCACGTGTCTTTGCCAGGTATGACATATTGCTCTGCAGTGTTTGAACTGTAGAAGATTTATATGATTTAGGCCCTGGCCAGACTTCGCTCAAAAGCGCCCAGAAGCGCCCAAATTTCTCTAATGTTTCTTCACTTTCTGGTGTGAGGAGAGATGAGAGAGATCAGAAAATTTTGGGTGGTTTTGAGCGAAGTCTAGCCGGGCCCTGTAGTTTTGCTTTCGACACGCTTTGCAATTTTAGTTACATAGAATAAGGGCGCTCGAGACCGTAAATTCGGTTTATTCGTCGTCGAGAGTTGACACATTGATCATAGATCGTTCAGGTCCGGTCACGATTCGCTCGAATTTGCATAAAAATGCTCTCATCTTATCTTTTGCATCTCAGCGTTAAGAATTTAATCATTATCTGTGCAGTAGTGTCATGAAAAGTGTTGTGTTTTGTTCGGGATCAGTCTACGCATGTTCTTGAATGCTGCCCAAATGCTAGGGGTTCGCACCAGGTTTGCGCACGCAAAGCCGTACTCTTTTTGCTGTCATATAACGGAAAACGGTCTAATGTAGAGCTTTGCTTTGGGATTGTTGTTTGCGGTATCGTATTCACAAGTTTTCATAAGCTTTCACGCGTGAATACTATATGTTGCCGATGTAGGAGATACGCGGTCAAAGGCATTGGCTCGGCAAATCGGTGAATTTGAAGTATTAATCGTTTTTAATTCCCCTCGATGAGCTGAGTGCAAAACGTTTTGCAGTGTTTTGCAGTTTCTGAATTTATTGGTAGGGCATCGTTCATACTGCGCCGGTTCCCGCCCGAACCCGTCCGGATCCACCCAACCAGGCAAATGAGGGAAAGAAGGAGATATTTCGCGATCTTACGAGCCCACGATATAGGTATTTCATTATTATCTCATAGGTGCTGCAAGGTGCCGATATCCAGGTCTATCTCCTTCGCTTCACTCATTTATCTGGTTCGGGCGGGCTCGGATGGGTTCAGGCGGGATCGAACGGGTTCGAATGGGAACCGACGCGATTTGAACGATGCTTAACTCGCCTTTCCGAACGTGGAAAGTGCTGTTTGGGCAAGAAGCAAAAAGTCGTTTCTAAAAAGCAGGCTGGCGGAGTACGAATGGGTGGAATCTCCCACCCATCTCAGCGGCAATTGGATCATTAGCCCCAGCAGCCAATCGTTTCGCAAAAGGGTCGGCTTCCGCTACTCGCTCAAACAACAGCTTGCATGTTCAGGAAAGCGGGTTATTGACATTTCCAAAAGCTGCAAAGCACAAGTTTGGATTCGGCTTACCTAAGGAATTCAAAAACGATGGATACCCCAAAGTTGTCAGTCTGCCGAGTCAGTGTGACCGAAGCATTTGTGATAACTCAATCGTGACATTAGATTATTTGACGATCAGTGTTGCAGATATGTTACATATCTTTGTTGCCACTCATTCGAACTCTTTGGCTTGATTCTGCTTTTCAGATACGAGCACGGTATAGAACGATGCGTCGTTTTGGAAGATTTACCCAAAGATAAAGTCGCCTCTGCTATCAGGGAGCTGTCAACGATGAATTAGACTTTATATTAGATAGAAATAGGGTACAGAATGACGTACTAATTTTTCTTGATGTGTACAAATCTATTATATTCTTGCTTAGTCTATCAATAGATAATCAGTCAATAAATCTTGCTGACTGACCTCATGCGAAGTAACCACATCCTATGTAGACTTTGATGGGCTTTTGTTTCCTTGAACATGAGACTGTCTTGGTGAAACGCGTTACCTGTTTGCTCCTTTATAGCCATCATCGGTAGTAAAGATTTTAGGATTTTTCTCCAGGTATAGAGTCGTTCACTTTGGATAGTTGGAATCTATAGTTCTGCATTGTACAGTAAGTTTCGACCCGCTTTAGGCGGAAATTGGATTGGCGGGAGTCCGCCTCGCAATAGCTCGCGCCGTTTCGCAGCTACAGTATATCCTATCGTGCTGAGAACCCATGTCTGCGTCTCTTCAATCTCCTTAGTCTTTGCTTGGCAAAGGCTCGCAAAGCCTCCAGCGATGCGCATGCGCTGCTCCAGTAGAATGTCTCGCCTAATCCGGGATGAAACCGACTGTACCAGTATTTACCCATTGTACCAACTTTCATCCCCTCAGATAAGGCTAGCATAGAATCGGTAAAATTAAAAGGTAATAATTTTGACTGGTTTTTCTGAATCAGATGCTCACTTACCCCCCCCCCCCCCGCCCTGCGCCAACTCCTAGCGTAGCTCTAAGTTTGCAAAAAACCGGTGTCGACGAATGCAGTCGATAACTCAGAAGGTTGGTTGTGTACCCGTATTCAGTATGTTCACCTATCCCCTGTGTCAACTGTCAGCTCTGTGTTCGTTTGCTGATAATGATGAAGCCTATGAAGGTAATCTAAAATCTTGAAGACTAATGTTGTATTCATAATTGCATGCTCACCTTATCCCCTGTGTCAATTCATACTCCGACTTTCGTTGCGTACCAGCGGCGTTCGACTGTCCTCTGAGCGCAGCACGCAAACGCCGCTGGTAGGGCAGTCGCACGCCGCTGGTACGCTGTGGAACTCCGCTGGCAGGAGAATGGTACGCCGCTGGTACGCCAAGAGGGTACGCCTTCGGACCGCATGTCACCCGATTTTTGATTACGTACTAATTGCAGCATTAGTTGGTTTGAAAATTGCTATATCGTCATATTTTATGAAGCCGAAATCAGCGCAAAATTTCCTGCTATTTCGATCGATGAACTTCATTGAATCGAAATCGGGGGATTGTGAGCCACACCTACAACCTACAACACCCAGCTGAGGTGTTATCAGGTCACTCAATAAGAACAACAACTCAATCTTATTCCTTTGTCAAGTGCCGAGAAGTGTTAGCTAACCACTAAAATGCTGAGGCGGCCCAACCACTGCGTCGTATCCCATACGGGTACGGCTTACGCTTACAGCGTGGGGTAATGTGATGGTACGCCGCTCGCTTGCTTGGGTTGATGGAACGCCGCTCGCCAAAAGACGGTACGCCGCTGGTAGGGCGCATTAAGGAACGCCGTTGGTACGTTAATCGCACTCCGCTGGTACGCAAAGCCATTTAGGTACGCCGCTGGTACGCAACGAAAGTCTGAGTAGCACCGTAGCTCAAAATTTGCCAACAAGCGATAAAATCGATATCGGTCGATAACGAAAAATAGCTTGTGCACCCACCCTGCCCCGAAATGTATGTGTGCAAAATTTGATAAGTCTGTTCAGAAATGGGTTTTTCTTTAAACATACATAAAAACAGACGCTCAGCTTAATAAATAAAATGCATCTGCAGTATTCTGCAGTATGTTTGAACATCGAGGGTAAATGTAACCTAACTTTGCCGCTTTCCTGTATGGGGTAATCTGCATTATTGTTTTGTGCTGCACGCTAGTCACAAAATGAGTAATAAAACTGCAATGTAAGAGGTTTAGAAGACCACGAGGGAACGTGGCCGAACAACTGACCGGGATTTCCGCAGCACTTTCGCAGCATTTTCACTGGGTCACCTGAGGAAATTCTGCGAAGGTGCTGTGGAACCCCTGCAATGAAGTGCTGCGGAAATGCTGAAAAGTTGCAGGACTACCGCAGCACTTTGCGACTCTCCTTTTTCAATTTCTGATCCGTTTCTTCATATCAAATTCTTTTCGAGATACTAGCTTTCCGTTTTCATTGAGCCAATCCTCTAATGTATGTAGAATTTCTTTCGACATGCTAAAACGAGAGGCAATGAGGTATTCTTATAATAGAGATTAATAAGATCAAGAATCACTGGGGAGAATCGAGGAGATTGCTCGAGCATATATACATAATTCAGAAACATTCGAATGTATATGCACAACGAATATACTTACTTAGATGGCCCGGCCGCACATGACGTGCGGGCCCCAGCACAGAAGTTTGTATTTCTCCCTGTCCCTCGCTTCAGACATCCATGATCTTCTTGGCTAATGTCGGTGGCTGCGTCCCCGAGTTCTAGGTGCGAAAATCGCATCCAGCTGATTTCTCAGCTGGACCATCCGTTCCACGAACACGTTTGCCCATCGTTGGAGGTCTTCTTCGAGGACGTTTTGCTTCGCGAGAAATCCACTCCAATGTTCTTAGTGTCCTTCTTTCGTTCTTCTTAATGTGCTTTTGCAACGTATTCCGCTGGGTCACGAAGACGAGACATTCTTCTCACCACTGGGAAGTCCGACCAGACGTGGTTTGTGTCGGGTCATGTTTAGAAGGCTGCGCTCTAGCGCTCTTTGGGTGGTCCTCAGAGCTTTGGACGTGGCTGCAGTGTCGGCCCAGCACTCAGCTGCGTAACAGAGCGTCGGGAGAACTGTTCAGTCGAACAGGCTGGCACAAACCTCCGGGCCCGTCATTTGGTCAGTGATTTCCTCCAAAGGCCCGAAGGTGGCCCAGGCGCTTCTATTCTCTGTTAAAGGCAGTGTCCGGGCAAAAACTCGATTTCTAGAAAATCCACTTACCAGGCTTATCCGCAACTCTGAATCCGCAAATCCACATTAGAAGGCGCGAAAACGGTGAGAACATGCGTTTTCCAAAGTCTTATAATTTGAAATTCGACGGTCCCCACCAAGCCTGAGACGCAGAATGGGTGTAGGCCCTTCTGAACCCGCTCTAACTGCGTTGGCTACGATAGGTCAGTGCGTCTCAGAGGTCACGTCTTAATTGGCTGCTTCGATAGGGCGAGCGGTTGACCTAAACAGGTGCGCTGCGGAAACGGACGAGTTCCTTAGTAATGATCCTTCTCCCTCGGACCCTTGATAGAGATGTCGTAGACGCATGATGTCAACCGAATGTTGCTATTCTGCTGTCTTACCTAATAAACTCGCTGCTATCCACTAAATTGACGTGCTTCCAATCACGGAAAAACTGTGGGATGTGTTTGCTTCGACTACTAAGTACTCTATTTTTGTGTGAGTAAGGTGGGTGCTGGTAACTTTTTTTACTCCATATGTGCAATCCTTGCTGCATCGTGTGTATCGTCACATTTATTTGTGTATGTGAACTAAACGAAGCTTGCAAGGAAAACACACTTTTTGTTTGATTATTGCTAATAACCCGAGACCCGATATTCTTGTTAGTGCAGTTTGTCGCCAACAGTTTGATTCTGCGCCGATTACAGCGGATGCATAATTATATTCATGTAAACCATACAAATACTTACCAGTATTGAACCTAGTTCTAAGCATAAAGGAAAATATCGGATATCACTGTTCCGTGAGCTTTAGATAGCTGAGGAGTTCATCCAGCTCAGAAATTTGATCTACAAGCAGTGGCTTATGAACATTCAGAATTCCATGCACAACTCCAAAAGTTAGCGAGAAATGAGCAACGTTTGCGCAAAACACTAGATGCTACCAAACAGATGCCTTGATATTGAGCGAAAGTCATTCAAAGCAAATTATAAACTATTAGGTATCGTGCAGAGTTCATAAAAAACCATCTGTTGTACTTCGAATTGTGGGTCGGGCCGCGTGTGCTTTCCTTTCGAAGCATCATGCAGTTCACAACGTTCAAACGTGTGACAATGCATGAAGCAGAAAGGATGCACACAAACAAAATGTGGCAACAAAAGTAATCAAAATGAGATGAGAAAACGATTCATATAGTTACTCAAGAAATTCAAACCACGTTTCTAGAAACAAACCTGATTGATACGATCACGATAATAGGCCGTAGAATACAAAAAGCAGCAAATAGCAGCTTTACAGAAATGGGATTGGATAAGCTGAGGATACTCCCTGCGTTCAGATCTGAATTGTAGTCTTCAGCGCAACTTGAGGTGCGCTGACTTTCGAAAATAAAGCGTTCCGCAGAAGACTCGTCCGCAATGGCCGCAGCGCGGGCGCCCGCGTCCTACTCGCGGGGTTACTGTAGTAGACGGTGGGTTCAGAAGGGCCGTCTCCCACGCAGAATCTCTGCGGGATCCTACGAGACTGTGGCGGCATGCGTACTCTGCCACATAGGCACCCGCCATACTTGATCCGCTTAATCCACTTGATCCCCTTCATCATTGGTCAATTCAGTGAACTGACCAGTAGTGAAGTGGATGAAGTGGATCAAGCGGATCAAGCGGACAACCGCTTCGCTATTGCTCAATTCACTGAATCGACCAATGACGAAGCGGATCAAGTGGATTAAGCGGATCAAGTATGGCGGGTGCCATAGCAGGAATGCGGACAGGTCGGAGGACCCCGCTCCAAGGCGTAAGTTTTCCCAATTTTCGGTCGTCGTTTTTCTTGCTTTACGTCGAGCGTTATGACGTCACACTTGCGCGATGTTGTGTCTGAGGGGAGCCGCTCTCGCATGACACTGAAATCCCAAAAACCCCATCTTGCCCGGACACTGCCTTTGAGTTCTTCCCTCAAGTCGTTCTCCATGTTCATCGAACGTCCGAGATACACGTAAAAAGACTCCGTGAAAGGGGTGCCTTCCAATTCCATTTCAGCATCTTCGCAAAGGGCGTTCTTCATGAACTGAGTCTTCTTCCGATTAATTCACAAACCGATCTTCTTCCCTACTTCGTTTAGTTCCTTCAGCATCGTCTCTGCTTCAGGGATACTGCTTGAGAAGAGAACTGTGTCGTCCGCGAAACAAAGGTTCGACAGGAATCTCCCATGAACTCATATGCCTCTCTCATCCCAGTCCAGTGACTTCATCACCCACTGCAAGGCCGCGGTGAACAGCTTAGGCGAAATTGTGTCGTCTTGTCGGACCCCCTTTCCAAGAAACAGTCAGGGGGCAATGGAACAGTTGCATCGTCGTTGTACAGTCCTTGTATAG